ATTTTTATATCTGGCAACTCTCCGTCTCAAATATCAATTTCAAATCTGCTTTGGTCTGTTAATATTGCAACTAGGTAAATGTCTAATAACTCATATCCTTCCGTCAGACAAGGACTGGATTCCAAATTTGGTCGTCCCAATCCAGTCAAACCGGTTCACAGATCAGGTTTCTGAACAATAACCATAATTTGGACCACGATTTTTATGCAGCTACTGTCTGGAAATTTAAACGCACCATTTTTTGTGCAGAATCCGTCCAGTTTGAATTTGGAATGGTCTGGCCGCTAATTAAAAGGCTAGGAACACATTTTAATTTTATATATTTTTTTTAAATTAATCCGAATGAATATAAATAGTCTAATGTAATGTGGTGATAAAAATGCAACATAAACAGCGAGAATGCAAATACTGATTATTATAACATTCAAGGATAAGTCATATAAACAAGAGATAATTTCCTAAACCCTGCCAATAAACATTACGAGTAAGCATTAATGCTGAATAATTAAATAATTTATTAACAACTAAGCGATATTTTACGATCATATACAAAACTCTTAGTTCTGTCATCCTTATGACAGTTTGACAAATAATAACAATAACATACGATCATAATAACCTCAAAATTGTATTTGATTTCAGTGCGTAGGCGAGTCATAAAATTCACAGTGTAATCCGAATCTGGTCAGTTTTACGATTGTTCATTTGACTGGTAAGCAAAAAAGACATTTTGATTATTTTACATTTCGTTTTACGATGAGAAACAGAGTTTTATTTTGCCAACATTCCTGCCCACTGAAATCAGCTTTCACCCTGTCTTTAAATAAATAAGTGTATTTATCCTTCCCAAAATATTAAAAATAACAGCTGAACAGTAATTGCAGCTTCAATTAATTTAAGATGTTTTTAATCTTGGCTTTCATCATTGAGTTTATCCGTAAAAGGTGCCAATGGAATGATTGCGTCTGGAAAAATCGTTAAATCTGTTCCGGATGAGTCGAAGAAAATGCATTTAATAACAAAAGACTTTAGACTGACTCGATTATACTTACTACAGTATCGATCTATGTTAATTGTTTATACAATTGTATGTAGGTATATATATAGTAAGGGACGGTGGTTTATAGGTTTTAGTATCACCTAATGTGAAATGTGTATAAAGGCAAACTTCAGATACATTACAAAACTGTTGTGTACCAAAAAATATGGCATCAAATATGTAAGTACAATTTGTAAACCATTCCATTTCCTTTTGTTGTTTTCTTTATCACGTCGTGCGTTATAAATAAATGTAATGTGTATTATGTTGGCACTTCTTATTTAATCTATGTATCTCATGTCATAGGTCGCAGCTGTATGACTTAATTTATTAATTGGCCACAACCCAAAAATAACAACGTACTGAGATCGAGAGTTACGAACTAGTTTTCTTTTTTTTACGTGAATTTATCGACAATGTTTTTTCCTTAATTTTAGCGCACCTTATTATAAAAAAATACTGGTTATTTTGAAAACAAAACAAAATAAACGTGGCGTACTAAATTCAAAACTACATTGTAACTTGTAAGTAAATATTATTGGCAACAATGTCGTTTAGAATCGTAACGAATAAAATCTAATTCGAGTTACTACCAATAAATCTATTCTAGCATTCCATTTTACTTTGTAGCTCAATATTTTTCTTTGGAACATCGTCAACTATCGACCTAAGCTCACGAATCCCACGATACCTCTACGTTCTGTCAAAAATTGGCGGCAATCCAACCTGTGTTTGTAAACTTTCGTCTTATACGATTCTATATTTATTCCGTGAATTTTATGTGCGGCTTCTGATGGCCTCGACGAGAGTTTTTAGTTACAAAATACGCAGGTTGGAATCTAAGCGATGCTGATACGATCGTAACTTAGATTTGTTGGTATGATTGGATTTAAGACCAATTTTAACCAACTGAATAGGTCTTCGGTCTTCTACTCCTACCTAAAAAATTACGAAAATAACTCCGAAGTTTATCCAGTCAAAAACATCCCCAACTTATAAAATATTTAAACTCAATAAATTGATTGATAAACTTGATTGTTCAATTATTTTGGTACATTAAATTACAGAAGATGTTCAAAACTTAATATCAAAAGTTACGTATTCCTAGTAGTTATTACCAAGTCTCGAGGGTATGGAAAATTTAATAGAATCAGGACTAAGTACTTTAATAGTTTGTAAGCATAACATAAAGGGTTGCCTTTATGTAATATCTATATGTTAGTAGAATAATAATCACTTTTAAGCATTGGTTTTTACCAAGAGCTACTTCGTTTAATAGTACTGGAAAGTCCATATCAGCTGGCGATTTCGCGACATGCGACAAGGCAGTCTAATCATCAAAATAACATCTGTTGACACGGACAACAATTAATTATCATATCAGCCTTAAGACGTCCACTGCTGAACATTTCCTTAACCAATGAACAGCCATTAAATAATACCAATATTATAAAGGTCAATAAAAAATGTCTTTATAAATCGGACCATATAAATGCTACCGCCCGTATTATGGCTGGTTAAAAAAACATTACAGTGAACGATCAAAAGATTTATGAGATCTCAAGACTATTGTTTGGTAAATATGGTCCTGTGGGTCCCTCGTGCTGTTAGATCAACTATTGTTAGTATTGCTACTGCTTTATATTCGTCACCTACAGTGATTTTCAAAGCTCATTCTTCTTGTAAGTAGAAATAAAATCGGTCCTAGTTACACCCCTTAGGAATTCCACCAAGTTTGTTTTATACAGAGTTGCGACTGTCTATATTCTCTAGTTCTTATATGGAATTTATTTCACCACATAATACACCAATTTTTGTCTAGAAGGCAATAGTTGGTCTTTCTGAACAAACAAAATCTATTCGTTATTCAATACTAGAGGCAATAGTAACAAAATTTAATTGCTAACAGGGCTATAGTGCTATAGATAGGTATAGATTCATCAACATTCCCTCAACACGTTTCCTACAATTTAAAATCGTTTAAACATCTAGCCCATTTGTCTAGTCTCTACATTGGGTGGTCCATCAGCCTTTAAACTCTCTTCGACCAATTAAACTAACATAAATATTTAACTATACCCAGTGAGGTAGCACTTTTAGGTCCAATAATATTATTATTATCTCGTTAACCATCAACTGGAACACACGGCTACTTATCGAGCTGTACAATACCAGTATATCATGACCTTGCTTTGTATCATCTTTTTACGCATTCCACAGGTCATCTTATATTGAATTTCGCATAGCTTGATGTGTGTATCCTTTAAAAGTTAAACGTCCATATTTTTATGTTCTGTTTAATTTCTCAGTGTCGAGTGTTCCTGCTATTTATATTGACTGCCTCATTAACGTTAATTTTGTTTACGTCTGATCTTGACTAATTAATGGTCATTTTGTTGGTTGATGGCAAGCTAAATGGTTTTGTTCTTGTTTGAAATTACCATCGTCAATAGAGCAATGGGTCTTTACTTATGAAGCCCTCGTCATTATTCCCGATGTAATTTAAATTGGTTTAACATCTGTGCACACCTTCCTTAACCGAATATCTGGTTTCAACTTCACCGAAAACTAATTAAAAACCCGAACTGAGTATAACCGTATTAAAGCTCGACAATAGCCAATTATAATTCACGAAAACAAAAATGGGTTCCGCCTGCGTTATTCTTAAAAAAGTCTCATTTTTCAACCACTTTACCTGCTCTAAATTAGAAATTATTTAGGAAATCTTCATTGTTATCTACTATGAAAGACCTTCTATCAATAGCCTAGTTGCCTAGTTAGTACCTTAGTGCCACTTTAAATGCTTAGTAGCCACCAAACTTCGAGGAGTCTCTAACAACTAAAGTATTTAGACGTTCTTAGAAATAGAATAGTTTGCTCGTCTTACTCAATAATAGTTTAAACTTCGAATAACATCTTAAAGAAGATTCTTTCTCAAAATGATTGTTCACTCAACTTCATTAACCGGAATAGTGGGCTTTTCCAATGACTGTAGCTAAATCTAAAATAATTCTAACTTCTACGAATACTTGCGAAACTAGAAAACATAAAGAAGGAAGACGTTACGAATTAATGAAAAGATTTAATTGTCATCCAATTAGTGCAAGTATGCCACAAATAAATAAATGATATATGTTGCGCAAGATCGGCGCCTGCGTCGCCCGGCACGTTTTTGTTTACATTCGTAACTGGTTGTAGTGTTAACAAAACCTGTTTTGTGCTCTCTAGACCCGCGGAGAAGTCCTCCCAATATCCTTCTTATATTTTGCGATTTAAGCCACCTAAAGGACCTTGAAAATTAGGTATTGAATAACATCAGAACTTTATTGGTTCGTGAAATGGGCGTGGGTATTGAGGATACAAAACACTTAAACCTCGTCGTCTATTAAATTGCTGACATGCCAAACGATCGTATCATTGCTCAGTCAATTGACTATAATAGCGTGGAGTGTTTATATTGTAGACCTTGGCCACTAACTGGCGAGCTTCTGAGCACCGAGTAATGGCTAGCGAGGCGGCGAGTTATCCACAACATCATAATATTACGCTAATTGCATAAGACATTCTCGACACGTCCCGAGCCGCCACTTTACCTGGAATCTGATTACCTATTCGGTAAAATGTTGTTTATCAGTTTCCAATGTAAATAAAGTCGGCTAGCCCTGTTTTGGGTTTGCCTAAAGGCCAAATGGAATAGATTTTATCCTTTGTATTATTTTTACCTGACAACACTGTTGTTGAGGGATTAAATAAACATCCGCTCGAAGCGTAACGCGTTCCTATCTATCTAAAAGCCTAAAGAAAATAAAAATATGGATCCATTTACAATTTAAAAATATAACAACGTATGTTTTTTGTGCTTTGTCGTCTTTACATTAATGTAGTTCAAAGTCGTTGGAATGTTTACACTAGGTTTTGTAATCATTTAATCAGCTAGTAAACAAACGCGATATGGACTTACCGTGTCCTGCAAATCCTTGAACTCGTTGAACAGTTTATTCTTCTCGATCTTCTGGCTGAGACTCTTGACATTAGCGGACATGGCAATCAAGTTGACAGACAGCTCGTCTACTTCATGACGCAACTGTCGAACCTGCACCTCACGAACTATCGTCAGCACCAGTAGCCATGCGACTAGTGCCCCAAATACCACGGTCAGCGTGATCAACCACGTCTGCCACCGCCTGTCTGTCTTCTCAACCATTGCACCTCTAAACTGTCTCTCAAAATCACCACTCATCAAGTTCTTTGATATGTCGTGAGACTCCTTCATGTTCGTCTGAGTATACATCGAGGTAGCTTCAGGTATAAGTGCGTGATTCTCAGCCATCACAGCCCTGACACTGCACTCGCGAACCGTCACTCGTCACTCGATTCCTAAATGGCAAACTACACACAGTAATTAGTCTTTATCGGCCCATTATCGAGGTTCGTGGAAGTCCGGGACGAGGGCTGCCCGTGAAAGAGATAGAGTAAGTACACGTGCCGAGTACTTCGGGGGAGGGTAATACGCGTGCGCAACGAGACGGATCCGAAGCGAGTGTGGAGCGACAGCTATGTAGATAGGTGCGCGCGCGGCGGACGACTGGACGCGGCTGCAGAAACACGGCAAACGGCGCACGCGCATCATTCGGACCGATCCACCTCGAACGTTATTCATTCAGAAGTATAACTCCTCCCATCACTAATTATATCAAATAAATATAAATTATTAATAATTAAAAAACGGTTAGATATGAGTAAATTATTGTTATTATTGTAGTGGTTGCAGACTTTTGGTGCTCGTTTTTATTTTATTAATAGACTAAGCTTTTCGCTACATGAACAATAAAAAATCTTCGGGTTTTTAAAGTATATGATGAGGTGCCGGGATGATCCCGCGTATCGGTACATACAACACATGTTATAAATAATAACCTTTATTGACCGCTCGAGAAAGATAAAATTTCAACACCATTACGATGAAATGAGGTAACCCGTTTTTGGATTCCACAAACAAAACAAAAAGATTCGCGATTATATCGCACGAACGGAGGAGATATAAGACATTTTGTAATTAACATTCTAAATATATAACGAAAACTTCAAACTTGTGACGTTCGTCCCACGATCCGTACAAGATAACAAACTTTTACGACAGCTCTAAACCAGAATTATATCAATAAAACAATCTTGCTCAAATATAATTTCTAATTACACTTTAGGAATTGCTATAATTTTAATGGATATAATTATGTGAATTCCACAAAGATGTTGATATAGTTCTAGACAAATCTATGCAGGCTAGACTTGCAGACGCATGCAGAATTCTAGTTAATTAGACTGCATTACATTAATTAGTAGTTAAAGAAGTACATGATGTTTATTCAATAAATAAATACGTCATCAGTGTAGCTCGCTGCTGATAAGAGCAGTAAACAACATTAGTGAACGAACCAAAATATGAATGAACATGTAATAAGTTATTCATTGTCTGATAAATATATCCGAATGATAAAACAACACAGTAGGGTAGATGCCTAATTTTTATTTTGATGTCCGTCTGGGAGATTATTTTAAATCATTAGACACGTATTTTTTATTTGCTTACAGAAACGAATACTTTCGACGACATATTCATTGGAAATGTCGTGTGACGTCACTTCTATATACATTTCATACGTAGAAATGACGTTTTAGCCCCCACTCCTAAACTTTAATTCGTTATATCTAAGTATTGTTTTATTATACGACAAATTGAAAAAATACGTTTCTAATATTTATTAATTTCCTAACTTACGGACTAATTACATTTTTAATTTTCATACCCTGTCATCGTCCCAATTACATCTAAATAAAAAATAGCCTCGAAATTTAACAACACTTGTTTTCACTGTATTATTTTCCGAGCCGTGAAAAATGGTTAATTTATCTAACGTAATAATGATTAATTTAAATCTTTCGTAATCTTTTGTAGTGTGATACAATTTCTTTGTTCATTAATTGCATGGTATTAAAGTAGAAATTTGGATTTGTATTTTTAATCCCTTTAAAGTTCTAATTGATTCACAGACACAGATCAAATAATGTCTTTCTTCTATTAAAAGATTCTTCTTCATCTAGTCAAAATGTTCTGGGGATTTCTCAAGGCAGTATTTTAGGACCAATTTTTAAATGTTTCAGTTTACCAATTATTTAATACCGGAAAGCATGTTCTATTACTCTTGAGTTTATATTCTAACTTATTTATATTTTATTAATTGAATGATCAATTAGTCATCCAGTTCATTAAAGTCTCATTCAGCGAAAAGTGCCAAATACAATAGCAACCTAACCACAAAACATCTAAGTATAAGTGAAAAGTAGGTCAATTACTAAGAACTGTGGATAATATTCAGAGCCCAAATGTGTGTTTCATGAGATTTATGGCCAAAGTCTACGAGCGAGAAATATCCTTATAATTTAATGACGTCAGGCGCAAATCATTGGCGTTTGTGACTCTTGTGACTGTAGTATGCAGTTATGTGCAATAAATAGAAGTTTATGACGTATATGTGGGGTAAGAACACGATTGATAATAATCATGGCCGACTTCCACAAATTTACTGTTTATTGTTAAAACCATTTGGAAGTATAAAGAAATGAAGTCTATCAAATTAATTGGTGTGAGGACAAAATCATCATTTTATAATGTGGATTCCCCAAGACCAGTATGATTGACTTTGACTTACCTCTATAATAAATAACGATATTTTGCACCAATGTGACACAGGATAAACTCATTGTCACGTTAAGTTCCCTAATGAATTTGGAAAAAACAAAATAACGTCAAACGATAGCCCCTATTCTGGAAAACCTCTTTATTCCACAGGCAACTCTTTAAGCATATTGTTAAAAATAATTAAGCAAGCACTCCTTTCTGTTGAAAATCATCCCCTTAATTTGTTCATACAAAAGTAGTCTCTAAACATCGGAAATAAGGTCTATAATATAGTTAGTGGAGAGTGGTCACCGGTGACCGCTTGCGGATAAATGGGGAACCATATTAACTTTGCTTTATCATCATCATCATCATCGTCATCATCATAATGATATCCAAAGCTAAACATCCCCCAACGACTTCCATATTGATCAATAAGTTTGCCTATTAATGTACGCACTTAATTAAATTATTACCGATTTAATGAAACAACAATTATTGTCCATTTCTTTTCATTTTTGGATTAACCATTAAACCAAGACAGTCACTTAACATGACGCTATCTTACTGCCGCTTGCGCGTTTGCGGTTTCTCATACTAAAAACATTTTAGCTATGTTTTTTTCCTCGAATCGACTCACAATATACGCAAGACCACATATTGTACACAACATCATGGTCAATTACAAATGACAATAGTCACTTTTTTTTAAGGTTCGAAAATCATCGAATGACTCCTCCCGACTAAAAACCACCCCGTTCCTACTCCTGCCCTTCGAGCCGGAGCCCCGGCAACCCGCGGTTCCGTATCGGCATAAGCCCTATTAGGCTCCATCCGTGGTGGTCTGATGTCTCTTTGAGACACGCGCGGAATGCGACGCGCCATAATGACAATAGTCACTAAGGTACCTATTTTAATAAATAAACACACGCCATTCATGTACTAACAATAATAAATGCAAAATCTTGTGAGGATGTATGTATGGATGTATGTACCGTTTGTAATTCCTCAACGCATGAGTTTCTGATCATGATGTGAATGTAATCTAGCACAGAGATAATTATGTATATAACAGCCATTTACAGCTAGATAGATAATAGAGGGACGTAGGCTACCTATATCCCAAGAACTCGGGTGAAGCTGATGGCAAATGCGTGTACTTATTTTATTTATAAAAAGCTACATGCTTAAACTATTAACCAATCAACAGCTCGATAAATTTATCCGACTCAAATTATAATAAAGATAAGATTAAACAAATAACTACAAAAGGGCAATGAAACCAATTAGTTTGATTAAATATTTAATTGGGATCTACCATTAAACTTCTATTCGTATCTGATGAATTTATTCTATCTCCCCTTAGAGCCAAAATAGCTTGATATTTAATACACATTTACTAATCAAAAGCTAGGATATAATTACAGATGACGCAAACATTCCATAGATCGGTCCATTTGATTTCTAGCACGGATGCGCGCACGCAGCGAACCCGCTTCTTATATCAATTGTGTAATAGACTCGCCCGCATACTATCCCTCTTATAATCGATATTATCTGTCAATGAATATGAGAATAACTTGGCAACACTTGAGCTACGGGTTGCCAGGAGTCGCACACATAAAATGGATATTTAGCAGCAAGTGATAAGTGCATAGGATTCCTTAACTTCACATTAAGCACGTCAATCGATAAATTGAGACTCTAAATCTACAAGAACGCCAATATTCTATGAATAATTTTAGCCTCTCAAGCAGTGCAAAATAGTTTAGGAAAATCGAATTTTCCACATCACCATTTTATAGCGTAAACAGAAACAGCTTCGCCTCAAAACACTGAACAGTTTAGCTTTAACAAAAGCACGTTCGCCAGTTTTACTTATGTAAAATACAAAAATATTATTCTCAACTCAATAACAAAGCAACATAATCTAGATTTAGGCAAAATAGATTGCTGTTACGCTTTAAAGAAACGAAAAAACTTAATTGTAAATTTGAGAAGGTAAATTGGGTATTTCTAGAACATTAGTAGACATTTTTTTTTATTCTCTACCAGTGCTGTAGGTGTGCGAATTCTTTTCACGTGTGCTCATAAAACCATCGAGTCTCTGACAGAATCGTGTAACAGCTATATTTTTAACGTTCTATTTTCAAATGCGCCAAAAATGAAGCGTGATGCATGACAGGAGCCACCACGATGCCAACTTTCGTTGCCGTGCTTTAATTTTTTTTTATCATCAAAGAATTTTTTATGCAAACATCTTTGTTTGTTTAGAAGTTTCTTATTAATGAATGAGTACATTTTTTGTCGACATATTATCTAAGGCAATATGGTATACTTCACAAAGTTTTGACGTCATAATTCAGAGCAGAATCTTTTACTTTAGTTACATTAGAATTAAGTTACTTAACGAATTTTAATCTTTTCTTTTTAGTCAACTACATTATCCCTAAACTTTGATGACTTTTATCTGTTTGAGATTGCAATTTATAGAAAACCTTTAAATAAAATTAGGTTACCAATTTAATATTCTAACCGCCCACTTCAAAGTCTGTGTGGGCCCAAGGCCCAAACTGAAAGTACCACAAAAAGATTAATTTACTACATAAACAAAACATTTGGGATAAACTGGAGAGCACGTTTAATTAGGTTCTAAGTTTAATACCAAAGAGTCACGCCTCTGCCCTAGGGGGATAGGCAGAAACTGCACATCAGACCCAAGGTATATACCTGTATACGTATATATGTACATGTCTATCTACCTTAGCAGCTAGGTACGTAAATATCCTACAAGAGGAGTTCATTATTGATTTTCAAACGCTTTTCTAACATCGCCTATACTACTCCTTATGTGATGACGTCATAATATCTTCATCATCATTTCAGCTCGACGTCGCTCTTCCTTCTCCTCCTTCTTCTCGGT